AAGTCAATAAACTGACTGACTGATAGCAACTGTCATGAGTAAATTGTACTGTTACAAAAAAATTAACAAAACAATGCACAAAGACACACAACAGGAGGCACTCATCATGCAATATGAAGATTCATGACATGTTAAGATGGAACACATCATGAATGTATACCTAGATTTATGATGTGCCCAAAGAATATTTAACATCACAATTTAAAAAAGGTCAGAGTATAAAGCTATTGCCATACTTCTGACAGTGTTTATAGCAATAGTTTTATAAGATACCTTTAATAAACAAAATTTAATGCTATGATATCTCTGTGTATTTAATATAAGCATTGTCCAATATCAATGTTAATAAAGAATTTTTTTGCTTTTTATGCTGTCAGCATTTCTCTACCAATGTCCCAGCTATTTCCCCATTGTAAAGGTTGGCAAGTATGACTAGGACAACTTTATGGTCACTTGGTATACATATAAGTAGATAAGGTGACTGTTCTCGAATATTTGAATACTTAGTGATCTAGTTAATATCCAAATTTGAGAAAAGCAATATTCACTCAGCACACCAGTGCCCGTGGATAAAACCACCGAACACTGGTGTCTGGTCAGGAGATTGCACCCAGCCAAGTGAAGTTTTCTGGGTTTTCTTCATGTTAGTAACACTTAAATAACAGCCAGAGCCCCATAAAAATCCTCCCGAGAGGCAACCCATAACAGCAGGTCACCCAAGTGTCATGTTGCTGTCACCTATCCTAGTTAAAAGTATAAATTAGAAAAATAATCATTGAGAATTATCAATTGTATTATCAAAATTATATTCAGCACAACGTAAGTGATGTTCCATTCAATAATTGAAACATTGCCAGCTGGTACCTAAGACAGTTAAGGCATCAGCCTACCATCCTGGGATACTAGATCAAATTTGGGGAATGGTCCGTCTCTCACCACCACATTGAAGGCCTAGCCAAACTCATAACGAGTTTACTAAAAGAGGTGCCTGTAGTGCAGAAGCTCAAAAAATTGAAACAAGGCGATACCTAAGAGGTTTTCCAATTTAGCAAATAGCTTAATTTTAAATTATTATACAAAGAAGAAAAAATATAGCTCAAAATGTTTGAATTTTCATATTAATTCATATAGGCCTTAAAACAAAACTAATCCTTAGTAAATCTCCAAAACATATGTTGTGTGTTTGCATTTTCTATTACTTATGTCATTAACATCCAGTTTTTAAAAAAGATTGATAAAAAACAAGGCTGCCACTATTGCATTGTATTGTGTTTCCCAGATCATTGTTAAAAAGAAAAAAACTTATGAAGACTGTGAAATGATAAAAGCAGCGTTTTTAGAAGTAGCAGATGTATTATTTGCTAATTTCAAAAACAAGTCAGACATATATGCAATTAAATCCCTATAACTTTCGGCCAATACTGTTACAAGAAGAATTGAAGTAATGGAGAGGTTGCGGCCAACGTTTTCAACGCAAAAACGTGTACGTCGGACGTTTAGCACCGCTTTCCTAAAGGCCTAGAAGTTTGGCAATGGTGTTTGACACATCGAGCATGATTCCACTGACTATCCAAACACCATTGTCAAACTTCTAGGCTTATAGGAAAGTGGCGCTGAACGTCCAACATACACATTTTTGTATTGAAAACGTCGGCCGCAACCTCTATTGTCTAATGATATTTATTACCATTTGGAAATGTTATTTCTCATTCCAATTTGATGAACCTACTAATGTGATACATCAGTTAGAATGATATTCAACAACTATAAAAGATCTTATAAAAATTATTCCATTAAAAAATCACACTAGTGGCAAAGAAATGCATTTAGATAATGAAACTTCTTGTTGAAATAATTAACTGAGTGAGGTCTCATGCTTTTCAAAAGATTATGAAGAGATCTCCATTGTTTTAACAAATTGCTACCGACATTAGTTGTTTTTTTAAGGAACTTGGAGACTAATTGGTTGCAGGATTTTGCCTTACAGAAAAACTCAGCTTCAGGGAAAAAAATAAAAATTTAGGAGAAATGATCTCTAATGTAAAATCATTTTATAACAAATTCTGGGAGAATAATTTGAGCCAAGGAGAAGTCAAACATTTCCCTTGTTTTGAAAGAGAAGCTAGAAAAAGAAGCCAACAAGACATACAATGGAAAAAAAAAATCACGTTTTTAATTGCTTGCACATTTGTGAGTACAGTTTGAACTTTTTTTTTTAAAATTTTAATAAGATTGAATTACTTTTGCAGTTTGTTTTGACTCTCTTTTTGAAAATTGATAATGAAAAATTATCTCAATGTAGCATTGAAAATTTTCACAATGGTTCTTTATCGGAAATGGAGTTGATTAGATTTTCAATGTGATTTGTCACTAAAAGGCACTGTTTCTAGTTCAGAATCTATGACCTTTCATTTTGGCAGAGAAATATCCAATATTAGTTCAAATTTCATATATAATAAACTGTTTTTTTTTTAAATTTTACTTAATATATATAATTTTAGCCATTTTGAAAGAATTGGCCAGCTTAAATAAAATAATGACATTGAAATGAATAAGTTAAAAATAGCAGCAAGACAAAATTTCTTTGCTTTGCTAATAGAAATAAAATCATTAATCTGGAGCACCTGCAAATTCAAATAAGTGAGGATAAAATCAGCATAGTTAGGCCAAGACTCCACTAGTGTAAAACCCCTTGCCATAAAAGCTTTTAATCACGTGGCCATGATATTTTACGCCTGAGCAGGTCATAAAACAAGCATAAAAGCGAGTTGAGCAGTGTTCAACTTTTGACGCAAATACGGCCGTAAAATGGTACCACCCACCAATCGGAAGTCGGTGAAATCTAGGTCATTGTGACACGGTGCAAAAATAGCAGAAAATGAGCTTTTGTGTACATTCCCTCGTGGCTACTCTAGAATAGCTCTGGAAAGATTTATCAAAAACATCTGAAAGTATTCGTGTATCTACGACAAGAAGTATCCCGATTCTAATAATGGATGCCCAAAACACAATATGGACGGCCAAAGGAAAATCCTCCAATTTAGAGGAGTAGATAATAAAAAAAAGCTAAGCTTATAAGTGCTGTATATTATCTTAATCAATAATACGATAATAAAAGTTAATATGTGAAAGTAAAGATATTATTTTTACTACACTTGTAATTATAGTACAGAAAAAACCCGTAGAATATAATCATTGTCTTTATAACTTCGATAGTACCATTGCCGTAAAAACTTCACTAGCCGGACCACCACCCCAATCCTGACACAAACAGGTCACGTGATTAAAAGTTTTTAGGTGAAGGTTTTTATGTCCGTTTTTACACTAGTGGAGTCTTGGCCTAAGTAAGATAAAGTAACTGGAAATAGTTATGGATGATGATCTCCACTGGAACGGGCAGATAGATAGTATTGCCTTGTTTCTTACCAGGTTCACTGGAATAACAAAAAATTTCAAGCATTTTTGAGTATTACTCATTTGAAGAAGTTATACATGTGCTGAAGCAAAAATAAGATACAGAATAACTGTTTGGGGTACTGCATCCAATTACACAGTTAACAAACTGCAAGTGGAACAAAGTTGTTTTATTTGAGCCATCCATAACCTACATTTTAGGGATTCAGTGTCAGAATATTATCTAATTGATAAAATTGACAGAATCCATAGCTTATATATATAAAACAAGTTTTACTGGTGAGCCAGATTCATTAAAAATAATAAGGATACTTGTTACCTTGAAAATACAATAAAAAGTATTGTACTGCTTTGATCCAAAATACCTGAAGGACTTGTGGTTACTCTATCCCCTGTGGTCAAGCTCATGGTGAGAAAATCATCACCAATATTCCAAATGATAATGCACTGAAACACCCTGAGTAACAAATCTATGGAAATATTGAGTTACAGTTTTTAAAAATAATGTTAGAAAGTTAGTTTTGTCGTGGCTTTGTTAATTGACTTTTGGCTTAATATTTGTTGACTTTTTTCTTGTTTTTGTTGTCTGTAGACGTTTGAAAAAGGCCTAATGGCCACAGTGTCTTTTCTTTACAAATAAATAAATTAAAAATTTTTAGTTGTTTTGCAATAATCAATAAGCAAAATTGTTTTAGGAAGTTATTTTTGAATTTAGGCATGAAGTTCCATTGTTGTCATCCTTTCCTTAAAAAATATTTAAAAAAAAAGCATTCTGTTTTGTAATGAGTAGCTCAACAGATAATTTTAACTTCAAAAGTAACTCATATACTGATTAAGGTTTGAGATCACTGTTCTTGACCTATACTAAAAAATAAATTATGAAAAAGTTTTTAAACACCACCTTTTTAAAAATCCTGTGCACAAACCTGCTGTTTGTCATAATCTTAACTTGAAAAAATTCATAAAAGGTTTATTTTTTGTTTTAATTCTGTTTTAAGAAAGCAAAATTTAATCTTTTAGGATGTAGTCATTTTTGATTTTACTTTTTTTTTTTTCAAAGATTATAAAGAATTAATTTTATTACCACTATTACTATTTCAATTTATATTCTTTTGAAACTGATTTTTGAGAGGCCCTATGGCTTTGGGGAAACGGATTTTGATGATCTTTGGTGTAGAGGTAGTACACCATGCGAGTGTACTACCTCTACACCAAAGATCATCAAAATCTGTTTCCCCAAAGTCGTAGGGTCTCCTTGTAAGAATCATTCAAAATAATTCTGTAATATAAAAATATATACTAAACAATAACATTAATTTAATTAATTGGATTCATTAATCATTAAATCCTAATCAGATTTTTTAAAATTAATCAGAAACATCGCTCAAAAGCAAACTAAGAAGAAAAGTTATTTCTTTTCGGTAGAATAAATTACTTTTTAAAATAGAATAATTATACATATAAAAGTTTAATCAAAGGCAATTTATTGATAATAGCAAAAATATTTTGAAAGTGTTTCAAATTTAATTAACTGTTACTGTGAATAAATATTAATTACTATGAAAATATTTAACAATACATCCAAATTTTGGGGGGAAAAAATCAAACTTTTATTTTATGTATACTGTATATAATTTCATAATAATCTATGTAAATAATGTGTCACAGACAAAATGATAGTTTACTTGAATACAAAAAAGTTTACAATGTCTGCAATACATTTGTTTTTTTCTCCCCAATCTTTTATTTAACATATAGATTTACACATAGCCCACTCAAAAAGGATTAAAAATTGCATCAGTGAATTTTGTTCTTAAACTCCTTCCGTCTTTGATGGCTCATCAAAGTTTTCTACAAGATCTGAAAATAAAAATAAAATTACAATTTCAGCATTTAATGAATAACATACAATTTTAATTTAATGTATGAGTAATTAAAATAAAAAATTGAATTTAAATTCAAGTAATTTTCCAAAGTTATAAAAATATTTCCAACATCTTAAGCAAACAAATACAAGGCAAAAGAGAATAATTTGAAGATTTAAATGGAAATTCAACATATTTTGTAAAATGCCATTATTTATATTAACTATTCAGAATATTTTAAATAGCTTAATTTTTAATTAATACTACAGATGGGCAAATACTCAAAAGTATTCAAGACTTGAGATTTCAAATATTACACTGATAAGAAATAAATTTGAATACTGTGATCATCACACATGTAGTCACATTGGCAGGTACTTTAGAAGTACCCTTTGGTTATTTCTGGACTACATTTTATTAACACACGCACAACTGTATTGAGGATGGTCTGATAATTTTCATAAAATGTATTCTTAACTTAATTTATAAAAGTCAGTTATAATTGTGCTGATGGCTAGTTGTTTCTGATTAAACAGAAAGATAACATAAGCATAGCATCTATATTTATGGAAAATATTTCAGCTATGAATTATAATGGTAAAATTAATTATTAACTCTTATTTAAAAACTAAAATCTTTATAAATAATATTGTGATTTATGTTATTTCCAATATTTTTGAGTTCTATTAATTTTCTCAAATTTAGCAATAAAATTTTAAATTCTTACCTGGCACATCTTCATCATCATCATCAAGTAAACCATGAGATGATTCTCCTGCACCACCTAAGTAAATTTATTAAAACACATTTGTGAAAAACATTACTCTAACTTTATTACACTAATGATTAAAAAATAAAAAAATATCAATCCTACTGTAATTTTCATTAATAATAAAGATTATCTCTACTTTGAGATATTTAAAATAATAGAAAATTAAATGCAAAGCGACATGCAATGGAGAAAAATCTCAACATGAGATAGGTTAATATACTTTTTCGTACATAATTGGTTATCCGAACAACCCCAGTCCCCAACTGATTCAGATAAATGACACTCTACTGTATATTTTTAACCTCTTATTGCATAAATATAGATTCTTAATAATTTATTACATAAAATTTAGAGATATCAAAACTATAAAAATTTAAAATAAAACTTATGTTTCACTTGCATATTAATAAAAGTAATAAATATCAATATAATTAAAGTAATCTAGTAATAATCTTAACATCAATAAATTATAATTAAAAAGTTTTATTTTAAATTATTATTTTCTATATATATATAGAAAAATATGATACTATAGATAAAAGAAAAACATATTTATACAGGAAATACAGGATATTTTATTTTTGTATTTCCTTTCATTATTATAGTCATAACTGTATACTATAAACAGTATATATATTATTCAACTAACCTGCAGCTGTCTGAACTGTGGCTAATCTTTTCAAATGAGTTAAGCTATCAGCTCCTAACTGATTCAAAATAGATGGTAACATCTCTGTTATTTCTGGAAATATAAAAAGTTTCAATTATATATTTTAATTCAATTAAAATAAATTTAAAATTATATTATTCATATTTTTCCAACGAAATGCTAGATATTTATTTAAATGTTCGACTAAACTGAAAAGTTATAGTAGTTACATGAAATGCTTTATTCTTTTCTTGTAATTCAATCTGAAAGAATTATAATAGCACAGCATCTGTGAGATATCACTACATATGAAATTCCTATCATTGAAGTTTTGAAGAATTGCAATTGTCATCTTATCTGATCTTTATCATGTCAAATATTTCAGAATAAGTAATAACATTTAGCTTACAAATTGAAGTAACATAATTCAAATTCATTCAAAAAATGAGACAAACATTTAAACTATTATGAAAATTCTCACAAACTTCATATATCAACATGCTTTTCATTGCTATCGTTTTACTTCTTATAATACTATTTCAGTGAAGTGTAGAAAATTTATTTAATTTCAAAATATTTGCTAGATTAAAAAGAAATTTTAATTCAGATAAAAGAAATTATTATAGTCTAAAATGATGAACAGTTTTTATAATAAAAGACGTTTTATTATTTTATAATGATATATGAAACTGTTGTATTGTAATCATACAAGAAATACAATGATTATCAACTTCATCTCAAAACCCTCTCAAAAACAATAACAAAAAATAATAATAATTATAATAGCTATTGAACCTAGCCATTAAATGTTTTCTTAAAAAATTTAATGGCTACATTCATATAAATTTTAAAATGTGTAAAAAAAAAATCAAATTTAAAATAAAACTGATTATTTCAATATAAATCAAGTTTTTACAAGAATCTCAATAGATTTCATGACATGTATTGTCACAAATAGTAATGGCAAAACTGAAGAGAATGTTTTAGCATACGTTATAAAATGGAAAATAAGATAGAACAATTCTTATAACAGAAAATAAAGAAATATTTCAATAAAAACACAATAAATGCAAGAGTTATGCATGTCAAAACGGATATTAATAGGTTCATGCCTCAAATTCAAATTGTAAGTGGAAATTAAAATGCCCAAATTTTATTTATTTATTTTAAAAAAAATTGTATATCTTTCCCTCAACATTGATTTAAAAAAATAATTTTACAATTAAAATTTTTTTTAACCAGATTGTTTTCTTTTTGAAAATCAGAAAATAAGTTTCTTTTCATAAAATTCAACAAAATTATTTAATTTTTTTAAAATTATATTTGATATTTTAATGTCTAAACTAAAGCTTTTATTTTATACTAGTCATGAAAAAATTTGTGCAAGAATGTAAAGCACTTAAATAAAAGATTTATTCTAATATAAATCAATAAAATCACAATAAACTAAAACTAGAATTTTCAAAAGAATTTACGTTTAGTTTCAGCATGTCCAGTAATTGCGAAAGTATTGGCAGCCAAAGAAGCCTGAACTTTAGGATTATTGAAATGGATAACTGTACCATCATCTTTAATCATATTAACCTAGAATTATAATACAAACTTTCATTATTATTTTATCATAGTTTAAAAAAAAAATTAATAAAACAATTAAGAAACAGATGAAGATATTTAAATCCATTTTTCAATTTCCAACCTAGTTGAAACTTTGCATATGTATGTATTCCTGATGACAATATATTTTTTTAAAGTTTGCAAACAATTAAAATTATAAATAAAATCTGATAACAGATGATGCCATATCTACCTTAATACACTTACTGCCATAAAAATTAGTACACCAAGAAGTTGTTGGAATTGAACAAAATAGTACATGTGTGAGCGCAATGGTGATATAAGTGATTACAAAATGAAAGCAAAACGATCATTTATTGCAGGAAAAACTACAAATGAAAGGAGGGTCAAGTACCCTGTTGGGTCACCTCTAGTGTGAATACACAATGTGATACAGATGGGCATGGAGGTGTACAGGTACATATGGTGTCCTGCAGCATCTCAGTCCACACTTGCTCTAAGCAGTCCTCTAGTTCAGCCAAACCTAATCTGTCCAATTTGGCATCCCAGACATGTTGGATCAGCAACAAATCAGAGAAACAGGGAGGCTAGGGAAATGTGGCAATGTAGCAGAGACAGTTCTGTGACTCCCTTGCAGTGTGTGACCAAGCATTGTCTTGTTGGAAAATGGTTCTTGGGAGTCATGCCATGAGAAGCAACACATGTGACTGCAGGATGTTGATAACATATTGCTGGGCTGTCATGGTTCCTTTGATCACTACTAGAGGTGACTAGCTATCATATGTAATGGCACCCAGACCATCATACCAGCTGTAGGGTTGATGTGCCACTCTAAAGAATAGCAGGATTGAAGTGTTCACCATGGGACCTCCAGACACAAACAGTGCTGAAACTGAATCTGAATCCATTGCTGTAGAAAACCCGTTTCCATTCTGTTGCAATCCAATCCCATCAACAGAGACAGCAGTGGGTGACTGTCAATGGAAGCACACATAATGGCTGCTGCAATACCAAATGTTCCTCACTCAGGCACCTTAAAATGGCACGGACAGACATGGGCCCGCACTCACGGCACCATCTGTGTCTGGATTGCAGACAATGATATGGTTGGCTTTGTGCTTGTCAGAAGACCAGCTGTACAAGCTCTCATCCGCTGGTCCAAACACCCTCCTCACAGTGTTGTCAGAACAGTCTAGGTAGTGGGCTATTCATTGAGATAACCATCCAGCTTTTCTCAATCTGATGAGAGAAAGCTGGATGTCACATCATCTTCAATTGTGACATAAAGGCATCTTAAGTGATACAGTGTCCCTCTGCAACAGATAAACTACAGACAGGATGCTTTTGTGCACTTTTTTTTTATAGGCCAAGGGAAATGCACTTTAATGCCCACTGTAAAGCAATGAGCCATCATGCTGTAACTCTAATCACTTCCATATCTGTTTGAGACTTATCTGCACACCAAGTTTTGCAGCAATACAACTCCTTGGTGTGCTAATTTTTATGACAATATGTTTAAATTGTAAGTGCCTTTTACATCATGCAAAAGCAGCAAGGCCTTGCCCCCTTTCAGTCATACTGTCTAGATAAAATCTTGTAGCTCAATTTTCACCCACTTCTCAATTAAATTCTAAACCAAGAAGAATTTTGATAATTCAGTGTTACATATATAAAACTAAAAAGTAAAAAATAAAAACACAGGCACTGATATTCAGAAATGTTCTGTTACACTTTCTATGGCTTACCATAAGTGTCCCATGCTTTTATTTTTGGTTGCATAATAACAATAATATTGTGAAAACAATTTTTTTTACTTTTTAGTTCTTATATCCAAGCAAAATTATTCATGCAAAAAAAAAAAACTTTAATGCATTTATTTACCACATATGCAATAATAATAAAGCAGTTGTTGACCCAAAAGGCACTTCATGGCAGGCATGCCTACAACGTAACTCAAGACTACTGGCTGATTAGGGGATGCCTGTTTGGAGAGACTGAGGGGGTTTATGGTTGCTATTCAAGAACAGGTAATAAGCACTAAAAACTATAGAAAACACATCCTGAAGGATACATCACTCAAAAATGACTCTTGCAGAAAATGCCACATTCTACCAGAAACTATACAACATATCACTTCTGGTTGCAAGCTCTTAGCACAAACAGACTATTTACATGGGCATAATCAAGTAGCAAATATAATATACCAAGAGATTGCACAGAAGCACAGATTATTAAACAATCAGGTGCCATACTACAAATATACTCCACAGGCAGTATTAGAAAACGACACACAAAATATACTATGACAGAGCCATAATCACAGATAAAACAATTCACAATATACTTGACATCACTCTCATTGACAAATACAGTAATATCACTTATATAATAGATAATAGATATCTCTATTCCAAACAATCATAACATAAAAATTGCTCACACCGAAAAAAATCAACAAGTACACTCCACTTGCTCAAAAAATATGACAGGTGTGAAGGATGGATAAGGTATTTATTGTATCTGTTGTCCTCTCTTCTACTGGTAAAACATAAACATGGAACTACAGAAAGCTGCAACATTGAACATGTCACATTATTAGGAAGTTTCTAGACATTGATACACACACACAAGTAACACAACTTAATGTTACCCTTGTTTGGATAGCTATGACTTGAATTTAGTCTGGCTTAGCACTTGACACCAGTAATAATAATAATTACTTAAAAATTCATGATATTGTATTATGAAAATTAATATTTTTTACATTAATTTATACCTCTTCAATGCCAGGGATATTATTTACTGTAAGCTTTTTTAAGGAACTTTGAAGTTTTTTATCATCAGTTGTTGCTGTTCTATGAACCACTTTCTTCTTTCTACGTGCTGTACCCTAAGAACACACAAATTAATTAGTTACATCCATTAGTATAATTAATGAAAATTCATAAAATTTATTATTTAAATATTTCAGAAATGAATACACTGCATATAAATGTACTAATTATACTTACAACGGTAATAAAAATTTTTGAATATTTAAACAATTAACAAATCTCTTTTATACAAATTATTATACAGTTGTTTATAATAGAAAAGTAAATCATGTAAGTAATAACAGTTAAGAAAAACTATTCAAAATGATTAGTAAAAGAAAAAATATTAATACTGTATAACTATGAAAACAGTAAAATATTTTCTTTCTTCCTATTTTAGTATCATTAAAAATGCCTTTAGAAAATTTTTTGAATCATTTCATTTAAATAGTTATAAAATATTTAAATGAGAAATTTTAAAGAGAAAATGTTTTACAAATTCTTATTCAGATATATTTGATCATGTAAATTTCTATATATTTAAAGTGTACAAGAAATGATTCATTAACCCTTTGGTGAACAGAGAGGAGTTTCAGCTCACGAGAGGGCGCATTGCGGCAATTACACTGCATATGTAATATTACTTGATTTAAGTCAATAATTAATTATTGTTTTGAAAATATGAATCAGATATACCAGAAAATTAATTTTATGACATTTTATTGAACAAATTGGTTATGAAATATTTACATAATAAAAAGTAGACACTCTACTTCCATTTGAAGTTCACCTTCACACATGGCACATATATTCACTATATTACTACACTTTTTACAAACATTTCTACTGCATTCCTACAAATCAATTTTGTCCTATTGTTTTAGTGTTTACCACAAATAAAACAAATTCCACGTTTGCTACTCCTTTGGACAGCTCTTTGTTTCCCTTATAATTTTCCAAAAATGCGCAAATGTCTTTAGGAAGTGTCAGCATCATAGTTCTTTCAAATGTCCTTCCATTAGACTTAGGGCAAGTTTTTTTTTTTTTTTAATAAAATGTCGTCTTCTGTCTTTGTTATCAGGATTATTAAATTTAAATATAATATTAGAATTTATTCCAGCAATGTTGAGATGATGATAAAAGAGAGCTAGTGGCCATCTTGTAATTCAAGATGTGGTATAGGATAAACACATCTGATCTACAGTGTCTACACCACCTTTAATAGCATTGTAGTCCAAATTTATCACAGCCTTGTTAGTTTCCTGATCAACTTCAGAAGTGTCATGCATGGTTGAAAGAAAGATTACAGCTTTATTTTTCTTTGGACCTATTGAAGCAATACAATAATCATCAAACCAAATAGATATGAATTTATTTGTCTGGTTTTGTTTGGAATAAATTCTGGAGGTATTTCTTGTTTGTTTTTCTTCACTGTTCCTAAAAAGGTAAGCCCTTTATTCAATAAATCTACGGCCAAAGGATAGCTACTGTAGTAACATTTCTTTTTGTTTTCTCTATCAGCACGACTATACTTTTTACTATATCATCGACCTTGTTCGATCTCTCATAAGGCTCTTGTATATGCTTTCCACAATAAATCTCAAAATTAAGAGTATAAAAGGTTTTAGCATCACATAGAGCATATATTTTTATGCTGTATTTCACAGGCTTATTAGGAATGTATTGTACAAATCCGCAGAGTCCTCTAAAAGTATGAAGCATCTCGTCAATTGTCACAAACTCACTCACATTGAAACCACCTATACAATTGTTGACAAACTCTTGATGAAAGTCTCGAATTGGTGCAAACTTATCAGTTATTTTTCGTCCATCCCTGGTTTCTAAGTTGTCAAATCTAAGTGCATGAAGCAAAAACCAAAAATGATTTTAACTGAAAAGGCTCTGTAAAAGGATCATTCCTGTACCATCGGAAGACCAGAGCTCACAGCAATTAGTGTGACACCCCCCTTTTTAATACTAATTAAATACAATGCTCCAAAAAACACTTTTATTTCTGTTTTGGTTGTATCTCTGCAGTCTCTATCTCTTGCATACTTGACTTCAGCCACCTTTTTTTCTGAATATATCTGTTAGTATTTGTTATGATTCCTTCAATCATTTGATCAGTAATAAACAAGTGAAATGCATATATTTCTTTATTTGTACTTTTGGTGGTAGGTTTTGGTCCCGACAATATTTTCATAATATTTTTTGCTACCTGAATATAGAGATTTACTTATCCATAAACTTTCCTTATCTTTTCCGATATAAAATTGATAATTGTCTTTTTCTGTCTGCCCATGTTCACTATTTTCTTCGACGACAACATTATCTATTTCATTCTCCAATTGTTCGGAATCACTGTCATGAGAATTTTCTTCTATACAGTCGACCTCCCTATAACACAGGTTCCTATAGTTTGGATTCCTATATCACAGCGAAAAATTGTGACCATATGCGTACAAACATGCTAAAAAACTCGTATAATTTGGTAAAACATCATCGCCGACTCGTGTCGTGACAGGATTGGTTGAATCTAGACCAATAGCAGATATTGTACAAACTGTTGAGTTTAAACGAGCAGCGGACCTACTAAAAATCATTTATTATTTAACGTCCATAAAAATTATATTTATATTAATGATGTCTCTAAAGTTCAGCGAATTTTTCGCAAAAAAAATAATTTATCAGGAAGCACGCGAACGCAATTCGCTGACAAGCTCTACGATGAAAACAAGCTTAAGCAATGGCATAGTCGAATGGTGCACACTCGGTAAGTAATCCTACAATTTTTTGTTTATAGCATAGTTTATATGGATTATTCCCAAAAAATTATATGTATTTTGGAAATGTTGAGCCAAATTAGTCTAGAATCGATTAATTTTATGGAAGAAACCTTTCAAACAGCTGTAGTCCATAAACTGCATAAGTGTCAGGCTGTGATTGGCTCATGTATTCAAGGACTCTTAGAACATCAATTTCATAAAGAACGGAATGTATCTACCATGTTATGGGGGGGGGTCGACTGTAATTTCCTCTTCTGTCTCACCTTCACTGTGATAGTCAATTTCTTCTGGCTCTTCGATTAATTCTCTCAATACTTGTTCTAAAACTCCTTCCAACTCTTCCTGGTTCAAAGACATCAAGACAATACAGATTTCGTGAAAGCCGATAGAACACTTATAGACTAATATAAATTTAAAAATTTATAGAAACTTACAACATTGCTAATTTAATATATTTATTCAATAAACTTGCAAATACTGACCTACTTTATTAAAAAATAAATATAAAAGTATACAGTACTGATATTTTACTTACATGACAGAGTGCATATAGCAGCAGCAGTTACAATGCAAATGAGGTACAACTTGATTCAAAGTCCAGTAATAACTAAACGGTTAGTTATTACTAGACTTTACTGAACCGATTTCACAAACAAGCTGTAACATGTAATATGAAGCTAGAATACTATGACATACTTCTGCAATAATTAAGTACAATGTCAAACAAAAGACTTTATTTTGCAGCAATTTGCCGCAAGCACGTTCACCGAAGGGTTAATATCTGAGACTCAAAATTACTAAATTAATTGTAATTCATGCTACATTTGGCTTAAGTTTACTTTGTCATCTAACTATAATAATTTACATGTAAAATTAAACAAATTGCATACATTAAATTCAAATTTTAATAAATAATAATAATACATAAAGTAAAAATTTTAGAACTTGGTTGACAGTATTTAATTTTTTAAAAATATATAAAAATATTGTGAATGTACACAAAAAAAAAATTCCATTTGCATTCTGTTGCGGAGGCAGAGCATCTAAGAAAAAGTTGCCTCCATGTTTGAGAATTCTTTTTTTTTGGACTGTCAATGGTGAACAACGGAAAAGAAAACAAAAGCAAAAATTTGTGTGTGTATATTCGTGATATTTTAAAATAATTTTAAGTTAGACTAATAAGAAATTGAAGTTGTTTTCATTATTTAAGTTTATTTGTAAATTTATATATCTTAAACACTATATTTTATCAAAACATCTACTAATCAAAAAGATGAAAGATCCAGAAAGTTAATTTGAATATTTTAATATTTGAGAAGTAAATTTCTGCAATACTATGATACAACTATAAAAATACTATTAAAATAAGCTGCAATAAATCTTCATAGATGGTTCCAGCAGATAGCTTTACTGTAAAAAACAAATGTTTTCAATCACTTTCAGAGATCTTCATCAGGTTAATATTCTGTTCCCATAAATTGAATGTTATTTGAGCAGTTTAAACTAAACTAAACTAAAAAAAAAAAAAAGGCACCATTTTATGCACCATGTGACGATATCAAAATTTAAAACAAATATTTTGTTGTGTGTGTCACACACATAACAAAATATGACACAATAAAATATTTTATAACATCAAAATAACCTTCCATAATTCTTATGAAAACAGTATATTAACCCGACAAAGATATTTGAAAGTGATCAAAAACATTTATTTTTTAAAGCAAAGCTATCTGACAGAACCAGTATGGAAAATGTTTGAGTACTTATATCCTTTTCTAGCTTCTAAGGCATTTTCTACAATAAATAATTATTTATGAAACTAAAAAAAATTTCTTACTTGTATGTCACGGGAGACTGATTAAAATGTATTTAAATCTATCTCGCATGAAAATATATTTAAATCTATTTTTTAAATATAAAAAAATTTATGTTAAGTTTATTAACTATGTAAATTAGTAAACAATAAGAAGAAAATCAAATTAACAAACTATTTGCCTCTATTATAAAATAAGATCAATTTACATTTATCTAGAAAGAAAGATTTTAAAATTTCAAAATGACAAAGAATCAAAAAATACCAGTAATGAAAAAAGATTTTTTTTTGAAGTTTGTTTCAAAATTAAATTTTGAGAACAATTATATTTTATTATAATATAGTTATAAATTCAAAATTCAAGTATATTTAAAAACAACTTAGTTTCAAAATTACCAAATGTAAATATAATGACAGTTTGATCTAAATTAATGCTTATAAGTATCATTACATTTAAGCTTGTAAATTATGATGCATCTTAACAATGCTGTAAGTAAACAATTTATGTTTCCTTTCATGTGTTATTTCCTGTGTTTGTGTCTCAATGTGTAACTTGCACTCATACTTTCCTATACAAAAAAAAAAAAAAAAATACAGGGCGGATTAAAAGTCAGTTGACTGTTTTTTTTATTTATGAATACGAATCGTAAAATGAGTTTGCAGAATTGTCGGAAACATGATTTGAATACCAGAACAATGACTAACTGATTTTCTCCATCCTCTATTTTCCTTCAAAAAAAAAAAAAAAAAAAAAAAAGAGGTTTAGTTTCTAAGCCAATTTTACATTCTGAAATGAACAGTAGGTGCCAAGTGGATCTCATTGATTTTCAGACTCAACCTGATGGAAAGTTTAAATTTATCATGGTCTACCAAGACCACTTGACCAAGTTTATTTTGCTTCGTGCTTTGGAATCTAAACGAGCTGAAGAAGTAGCCTACCATTTGAATGATNAAAAAAAAAAAAAAAAAAAAAAAAAAAAATGTTTTTTGTTGTGTGCTCTATCACTCCTTTAAGTTTGTCCCATGAGTTCTGAATCACCCTGTATATTTACAGATATCAAACACACAATTTTATTATTATAAATGTTCCACTATACTAAAATTTAAAGCTTAAACAGTTCAGAACTATATAAAAAAGTTTTATTTATATTCAAAATTAAATATGGTTACACATTAATCAGTAAACTGTGAAAATGAGCCTATAAATAAATTTTAATATTTCTGAATTTAATTTTTCTAAAATATAATACCTTTCCTCCTATTCGAACTTGGGCCTGCAACTTACTTAATTTTTCAGCATTCATATCTGTAAAATAAATTTTAAATTATTTACAATTCAAAAGCTTTAATCTGCCATAATTTATAGTACAGTAGACCCCCCTATAACGTGGCGAAAAATTGCGACAATATTCGTATAAAGATGCTAAAAGGGACGCGTAAAACGTCATCTCCAACTCGTCATCGCGGACGAGCAGCCGAACTACTTTCCACCATCCAGCGCCACGCTACAAAGAGTTTAGGCGGGTAAATCGAGTTTACTATCGTCTGTACAGTATTATATATAAATTAGGTACCATACATATAATTATATATAAATTAGGTACTATATATATAATTATATATTAACTTAATTTATTTTAACTTTATTATAATTATGTATATACTTTCCACCGTCCAACGCCACGCTACGGAGAGTTTAGGCGAGTAAGTTGAGTTTACTATCGTCTGTACAATATGTAAATTAGGTACCATAAGTCTAATACAGTACTGTAATTTTATACATTTCTTGTGAAAGAAACATTTCTTATTCAACGGCCATAAAAATTATTTCTATTAATGATGTCTCCAAAGTTCAACAAATTTTTCGCAGAAAAATAACATCAGAAATCGCGGCCACCGTTTGGTGCGCTGCTCCGCGACGAAAACAAACTTAAGCAATGGCGACGTTGAACTGTGCACACTTGGTAAGTAATCCTACAATTTTTTGTTTATAGCATAGTTTATACGGATCATTCCCAAAAAATTATACATGTTTTGGAAATATTAAGTCGAATTAGTCTAGAATCGATTAATTTTATGGAAGAAAACCTTTCAAACAGCCGTAGTCCCTAAACTTCACACCTGTCGGGCTGCGATTGGCTTGTGTATTTAAGGATTCCTACAACGCAAAATTTGTATAACGAGGAACAAGGAACGCGTTATAGGGGTCTACTGTATTTATTAATTTTAACATTGTTTCCCCATGTTTTCAGAAATCTCTAATAGTAGTTGCATCTACTACTTCAGGGTAGATATTATTTCAAGCTTTAAAAACAAAATGCAGTTACTATTTAAAGACATTTGAATCTGCAATATCATAATGTTGTAAATGCCAAAACACAAATTTTCAAGAGAGGTAAAAAACACTTTTTCTAGTGAATGAATTCATTTCAATTTTACAATAAAATGATAAAAAAAGACATGACTCGCTCTTTGATCCTTTAGATGTTATGGCTTCACATAAATTCAACTTCAAAATACAGCCACTTTACAGTGCCAAAATTTTTTGCAGCAGAAAACATTGAGTTTAGAATTCAATTCTTCAATAAACGTATTTAAAGAAAATAGCATTTACAATGTTATGGCATCGTATACTTCATTTATTATTCAAATAAAACCAGTAACATATTTACATTATTACATATATATTTAAAACAATAAATTATAATAAAAAATGTTAAAATTCTGTACTAAAATATTTTACACTATATGATATGTAATAAAAATATTTGTCTGCTTTAACATTAACACTCAATTTAGCTAATTTATTTGTTTAATTAATTTAATTTGCTTACATATGAAAGAAATAAAATCAAAACAGCAGCTTTTCTCAAAGTCTATAGTATATTTATACTAATAGAATTAAAATTTTTTCTAATTATTGATCTTTAATATAAATACAATTTATATAAACTCGCTCGACTAAATTTTAGTTAAAATTCAAACAATAATAATACAAAATTGATTTTTATACTAATATGGCAAATTATATAATAAAATATATGTTTTTAAATGCAATAAAAAATTTGTAGTCATTTTCATATTAACTGCTTCAACTACAAAATCAAATGTCCAAAAATATTTATGGACAATTAATTTTGATTAACTAATTTTTTTTATAATTGCAGAAAATAATGATTGAACAAATTAGTCATAAGAAATATGAAGAATCATTATATAAAATTTATTAGTTACACAATTTTTAGATTAACTGCCTTAATTTTTTTTGTTTCTTTAATTACATCTTCCTGTTTCAGGGCCGATTCTGAAACAAAAAGCAATGGAAATCACTGAGGTACTTGGAATAGAAACCAACTTTAGTGCCAGTAATGAATGGCCAGAGAGATACATTGTATGTATTGTATAAAGCACTGTATTTTCCTAATTGTAGTTTTGTGGTTTTTTTTTAACTTTGTTTTAGTCATCATATTGAATAACTCAACAAATTTCCACCTCTGTTTGGGGTGTTGACTTATGCAGACTCGACTGTATTATTTCTTTTGATAAGATTTGTATAAAAAATAGGGACTGAAGAGGTGTCACTATGACCCAAAATGCATATCCACATCTAATAATAAAGCCTATATCAATAAGAATTCCTTGTGTGATGTAAGTTACTGAAAAAAATGTGCCAAAATTTTAGACTTTAAAAAAATACACAGAAACTAGTAACAGAAATGATCAATTAAAGTATATTTCTTATGAGATATTTTTGATTGGGTCAGAATACTAATTGAATTTTGCCTTTACATTTTCCAAAATAATTTTTCCTCTTCACTAGTGAAAATAAAATCATATACAAATATAAAGCTTCTTCACCAGCCAAACACCAAAAAAATAGATGCCTGCCTTTCACTTGACTTTTTGTTCAATTCAGTTGCTTCAGTGTAAGTCAAACTTTTGTTTAACCTGTTTACAGTTATCCTACTTCCACTAAAGTCAAGTTCTTTTGGTTGTTTGAAAGATAGTTCCATTTTCTTTTGTCCTCAATGTAGGCTTAATTATCAATGAAAATTCAACTTATCACTTCTAATACATGTTACGTTCTTCTTGTTTCTTGTATTAGGTTGTCTCATGGGCTTGAGACAACCATAAGGCTACACGGTTATCATAACAAAACTTATTTTAATATTTCCTACAAATATATCTTACTCTATAGTGGAACACCTTACACCTATGCTTCCTGACCTTTTTTCAGGCAATCCAAAGTGACTACTGGCCACAGAATGTTGCCCTTAGTTGTGTCACAGTAAACAACTATACCTAAGGGCAAGAGATGAGCTATGAAACAACTAAAGAGTTGCAGATGTAGTCTACTAATTTCAATGAGAGCCACAGGTTGTCATAGACATAATAGTGTAAGAACAATTATTTATGCTTCTTTTAATTTTGTTATCCTTCACCTGAAGCATGAAGTTAAAATGATATGAGGGACAATCTGGGGAGGAAAACATCAAAACATTACTCGCTTAGATGATCATGCAAACCATCACTAAAGATAAAGAGCAAATTCAATCAGAAGTTAAGAATGCTGGGCCACTTAATTCACCTACAATCTGTAAATCACATGGACTAATATCTGAGATGGAAATGTTAGTGAAAATATGGTGCAATAACCAAATAATAAAGAGATGCTTGATTTACCAGAACATCATTTGCTATAAAGCAAGATTGATATTTTCTTGATTGAAAGAGAATGCTGCTGGTGAAGCTGTGAAGGAAGAAAACCTTGCTGCTAGCAATGGCTGGCTTAATGGATAAAATACTGTTTAACACTACAGTGATACCCCGAACTTATGCGATAGGTGGGACCGAGCGATGACCGCGTAAGTCGAGGTATAATTTCGCAATACATGTAAAATCCAAGTCGGATGTATGTAAGCTAATAAATGTTCTCGTTAATCTTATCTCATCTTTTGATTCGTTCACGGTTACAAGAAATCACCACATAGAGTCTCTCAAGGCTCCATAGATATAACAAACACAGAAATAAATAACACAAAATAAATTGTAGCTATGTGTAGATTCCGTGCGACACATCCGAACATGTAAGCTGAACAATAGTGTGGGGGGAGTGAGTAATCAAGAGTTGCATGGCGCTCAAACAAAAGATGAATCGACAAGATTTGAAAATTGCGTAACTCTGGGTTTGCATAAGTCGAGGTATTACTGTATTTGCAAATGATGTCCTAACCTCGTGGTTGGCACAGCATTGCAATTAGCAGAATAGTAAAAAGTGCTGATCCAAATGCCGCTCTCTCTTTTCTGGACAAAATGAAAATATTAATGGGAGGAGGAGGGGAGACAGTTACTGTGCTAAGACCATCCTCAATGTCGATGTTACAGTCCTCTTCAGGGAGAAGATGCCAAAGAGAATATTGATCACACACAAAATTCATTTCCCAAATTCAATGTCACAAAAGTCTGACTGTCAGTAATAATAAATGGAAACACTTCTGATAGTTGAAGCCACTCCCTTATCTATTAATCCTAGAGAATTGAAGAATAAATCTAAATATGATTTCCCAGTGATTTAGAAGTCTAATCTTAAGACTTATGTACCTGTTCAGTTTTTGAGAACTGGTTTTGCATCAGTTCATTCTCAATATTGAAAATTTATTGCTAAGTTCAGAATCTGCCTTTTACAGTGATCTAATTCTTGATAATGCACTGGGACATCTTCCAGCAACTTTGGTTGATTTTGATGCAAGAGTGAAGGTAGTTTTTCTTACCTCCAAATCATATCAAGCCTGGTTCCACTTAATGATCAAAGAGTTATCAAAATGTTTACAGCATATTATATGCAACATTATTTTGCTCATTTGAAAGCCAGCAATGAATTGCTTAACTTTCCTGGCAACATTTGGTGGTGCCATCTGTTATGACATTTTATTAAAAGAAACTTTTAATACTTTCAACTATTATAAAATAGCAAAAACATTCATTTTGAGGGTAGGAATGGATTTTATAAAAAAAATTGTAAATACTAATAATGAGTAAAATTGTTATTAATTAATTTAAGTCTGACCTTCCTGGAGATACATGAACTCATTTATCTCCCCCACCCCCTTGACCTTTAATTTAATTTAATCATCAAAATTTAATAACATCAATCTCCCTAATAAACCAACCTGCCTGCAAAATTTCAGAAATTTTTGACACAAAGCACATGAGTTATTGAGCTTCAAAGAGAGAGTTAACAAAATTGTGCCCTCCCCAAACACACAAACATCCATACATACAGGAAAAAAACCATAAATTTTTTTTGCATTTCTTGACATTTCAAGATTGAGAGTCCAAACCTGTAAAAAT